TCCCAAACCCTTGTGTTTTGGAAGAAAAAAAAGGAGGGGGGAACATTCAGAGGCTTTTTGAGTGCTCCTGGGGACAGGGACGGGGGCAAAAAGAAGCAATAATTGGCCCCTTTTTCACAAAAAAGGGGGCGTTTTTTGCAGGAAAAAATGGTATGCAGAGCTTTGGGGGGTTTGTAGAGTGCTCTTGGGGGCTGGGGAGAGGCAAAAGTGAGCAAAACCAGCCTGCTTTTTCCTTGTTTTTGCCTTTCCCAGCCCCCAGGAGCACTTTGCAGGTCTCCCAAACCCTCTGCACGTCCATTTTTGCAAAGGGGGAGGGGGTTTGGTTAGCCAAAAATGTTGTATTCAGTGAATAAGTTGCACCCAGATTTTCACCCTCTTTTTTGGGGGGGGAAGGTGCATCTTATACTCTGAAAAATCCGGTATCCATGCCTTCATTATAAATAAGCATACTGGCACTTTCAAATAGTGTTGTTGTTTAATTTTAGTCCATGCTAGCAATAGTGAATTTCTAATGTGATACCTCTGGAAGTAGCTGTGTATCTTGCCCTTCTCATACCTTAAGAAGGCATGCCATCCCAGTTGCAGATCATGGCCTTCCAATGTTAATAGCCTTATATTTCTCAGATTGACCCACTCTTTCACCCGCGAAAGAGCTCCCACAGTTTCTAAAAGAACTAGACCTGAGTTAGACCTTGATATCAATTGTTCAGAAAGCAGTGGTGGGGCAGAAGACATAGTGGTGAAGCTAGGCGTCACCAAAGAATCTCTCTAGCCCAAGGTCTCTTCTGCCATTGCTTCTTCTTACCACTGTTTTACTTCTCCAGATATAGATCTTTCGCTTCTTACTTGTAAGTGCAAAATCTATCATATCCATAACTAAATGAAGATGTATAACATTCCCCCAAAGTCATCTCCCCCAGACCTTTTGTGACAGCCACTCCTTCATCCCTCCCACCATGAAAAATGATTGAACAATTCCCAGTAAAGAGAAAACGAAATCTTTCTCAAGGGAAACTGCCATACTGTAAACAGAGAGTTTACACTGCACTGGTTTTATGACCTCAAATCCAAACATATCTCTAAAACTGCAAAAGATTCACCTGTGGTTTATTTTGTGCAGTGTCTGGAGATGGAACCTTCCACAACGATTTATTTTATTTATTAATTTTTATGCCACCGGTCTCCCCTTAAAGGTGACCCTGAGTGGCCCTGAATGTCCTCCAAAGATATCCTGTGTGGTGATTAGCTAAAATGACTCTGGAATTCCAGAAGCTATTCCACACTTGGAGGTGGAACCCAAACGTATAGGTCTGTTTCTCTCAAGGTAACTCAAAAGATCTTCTCACCTGGTAGGCCTGGAGGCCCTGGCATTCCTTGATGTCCATGGCCAGGTTCTCCTTGGTCTCCTTTCTCACCCCTCTTTCCTGTAGGATAAGGGAATCACAAACGTTAACCCTTATTAGATTCACATTTTGTAGGCCTACTCTTTGACTGGAGCATCTTTCCAGTTCTTTCCCGTTAAAGACAGCCACAGAGTGTCAGGCCTGCAGAGATCTTTTCTTTTGGATCTTTGGCCTGCCACACTTTCTATTATTCTACTATGCATTTTCTATTGTGGGAAAATGGGAGGGGGGAATTGTAAGGAGTTAGATGATATGTAGCCATAACAAAATTATTTCTAGAAAGCCAAGGTCATCCTCCTGCACCTGACCGGAACTGGATGG